AGCCATATTTAACAACCAAAATATTTGTTAAGTGTGCTAAGTAACATAATTTTAAATCTCGAAACATTACTTGATTTTGATATGAAGTAGATATTCATATAATGACACTTTTTGGTTTTCAAATTTTTGGTTTCAATTTGGCCCAAAATGTTAGTTGCCAGCAGCACAAATCACTTTAATTATGGGACAATGAGGTAGAAATCTGATTTGGAATTTGCAATGAATTGCCAATACAATCAACTTGTGAATACTTATTGAAATTAAAATTGATCACAGTAATACAGGTTTTTTCTTGCCTCATTCCCACTGAGATTTAAAAACCAATTTGATAAGGAAACATTCTGAAATCTCCAATGTTGAAAATTATATTCTGTAATATATAGTATATTTTATATATGGGTTAGTGTTATTTAAATGTTAAGTCCCCCACTAGTACTGTCAGGTTTCATTGTATATTGTGTAGTCCTGGTTTAATTTGCACTCAGTCTCTGTGTCACATTTACCTGCAATGACCCAATTTTGCATTGGAGTATTATACATACCTTATTGGATGGCAGAGTCCCATACCAAAATCAGGTCTGGAATCCTTGCTCTACTGTACAGAGTTATAGCCCTTATCACTTTCACTTTGTCCAAGACATGTCTAACATACTGTCACCTACGTATATAAGTGCAAAATTTTGCATGCAAGTATATATATATCTTTGAATGGCAGAATGTGCAGCATGCATCCTGAATATGGTTTCTTTTTATCTATATATAGATTTATGGTCCCTTTTTCAATAAATCACCTTCGATTTGAATGTGAGCACATCTTTGGATGGCGGGGTTTCACTCACTGAAGTAAGGTCTTGTGCCAGAAGAGTTTTTGCCCTTTTTACTTTAATCACCCTGCGTCCGTCGTCCGTCCTTAAATAATTCTTGTTATCGGTATTTCTCAGAAAGTACCAGAGGGATCCTTCTCAAATTTTATATTTAGATTCCCCTTGGTTCTTAGCTGTGCAGGACAACTTTTGAGACTGATGGATAAACAACATGGTCGACAGGCAGCCATCTTAGATTTTGATATTGAAAGTTTGTTATCGCTATTTCTCAAGAAGTACCAGAGGGATCTTTCTCAAATTTTATATGTAGGTTCCCCTTGGTCCTGAGCTATGCATGGCAATTTTTGAGACTGATCGGATAAACAACATGGCCGATAGGCAGCCATTTTGGATTTTGATAGTGAAAGTTTGTTATCGCTATTTCTCCGGAAGTACTTGAGGGATCTTTCTCAAATTTTATATGTAGGTTCCCCTTGGTTATTATCTGTGCAGGGCAACTTTTGAGACTGATCGGATAAACAACATGGCAGACAGGCAACCATCTTGGATTTTGATAGTGTAGGTTTGTTACCGCTATTTCTCCGGAAGAACTTGAGGGATCTTTCTTATATTTTATATGTAGGTTCCCCTTGGTCTCTTGTTGTGCATGTTATATTTTGAGACTGATCATAAAAACAAAATGGATTAAAAGAAGAACTAAACAGATCTTTCTGCAATGATCGATTCTATTTCTTTCACATTAAGTACTATACTAGTAAATATGTGAAATGACAAACTCACTTTGAAGGTTGGCTTTTATACATCAGTATTAAGTTTAGATCAAAAGTTACCTCAAGGTGCATTTACTGTTAACATGACTCGATCAAACAGATTAGAGGAAAGAAGAGAAAGATCAAACTGACAAAGAACTAATGAAGATGGTACAAAGATGGGCGCCAAGATCCCTCTGAGATCTCTTGTTTTAATAGTGACCAACTGACCATATGGCTGAAATTTGTCAGGGGGACTACATGTACACAGTGCATTGTGTAGATTGCTGGCTTTATGTATATATATGTACAGTACTTTCAGAGTACACACGTACATGTGTGGTACATGTGCTATACATGCATATTATATTGATTGTTGGTAACTTGGTACTGTACATGTATGTGTACAGTAGACTTTATACAGTAGAGCTAGTATCAGTTTATATATACAGTATACATTGTATGTGAAGTAGATTCAGGTTGACCTATATAGCTATATCTGTTTGTCACAATATAACACAATTAATAAGAGCAATTATTGAATATCTTTGATGTTGACATTTTCACATAAAGACAATTTCCCTATCAAATATTACATAATACATAGATTATTTTACCTACAATTGTTGTACCAATCGATACTATACAATCCCTAGAAAGGGAGTTATCACAGAAGTGTACTAGAATCACTGAACTTGGTCATTATTTACGCTACATTCATATGCTTTCATCAGATATTGTAATTAGTTCAGAATTACATGTACAATTACTGCTACTCCAATATGAATTACCAATTATTTGATGGTAAATATAATGGGCACATGGTTTTAGTGTACAAATTGTAGATCTATTTACAGTGTATACATTGTATATCTCTATACAGTGTATACATTGTATATCTCTATACAGTGTAGACATCGTATATCTCTATACAGTGTCCTTCTCAAATTTTATATTTAGATGTAGACATCGTATATCTCTATACAGTGTATTCATTGTATATCTCTATACAGTGTATACATTGTATATCTCTATACACTGTATACATTGTATATCTCTATACGTGTATACATTGTATATCTCTATACAGTGTATACATTGTAGATCTCTATACAGTGTATACATTGTATATCTCTATACAGTATATACCTTGTATATCTCTATACAGTATATACCTTGTATATCTCTATACAGTGTATACATTGTAGATCTCTATACAGTGGATACATTGTATATCTCTATGCAGTGTATACATTGTAGATGTCGATACAGTGTATACATTGTACATCTCTATACAGTGTATACATTGTATATCTCTATACAGTGTATACACTGTACTATACAGTTACATATTTGCCGTAATACTTGAATTTGTCCATGCTCCCATAGTTCAACACATGTTTCCTTTAGAAAAAAATCAAGTTTTTTCTGTTATTTGAACAAAAATAAAATTAACCTGTGACAGGGTTACCAAAAGTACATTTACTACATAACAATTGTCATGATCAGAATTGTTTCCTTAAAAAAAAAGAAGTTTTTTCTAGTATTTGAACAAAACCAAAATTTACCTATGACAGGCCAGGGCTACCGAAAGTACTACATAAAAATTGTCATGATCACAATTGTTTCCTTTAAAAAAGAAATAAAAAAATTCCAAAAGGTCTTTCTAGTATTTGAACAAAAATAAAATTTACCGGTACCTGTGACAGGGTTACCGAAGTACTACATAATAGTACTAGTTGTCATGATCAACATATATGTATGTTGGTATTATTGGAAATGGCGTCCAGTACTCACCTTAAAATAGCATGTTATAATCTACGTCTATAATAAAAATATACTTCAATTCAAATCAATATTATTACCGCACGCATTTACAAGAAGGCCTTGGCCTAATGAACTCCCGTTACTGGCATTAGCTAACAAAAGTGCAGCTTGCCATGGGATTGGGGAAAGACAGAGGGGTCATATTGAATGACCTAGGCCTGGGGTAACCCAGTATATATACATGTACATGTAGTACGTACAACAAGATTGGGGATTGCATGTCCAGGCCATGAAAGACTGGCCTAGGGGGTTTGATATATTGGATGTGGCCAAAGAGATTTCTAACCATATACAGTACCAGGGGTATATAGTACAACAGGATTGGGTATTGCCCTGGAAAGACAGAAGGGGATCATATTGAATGACCTAGGCCTGGGCTATATATACATATACATGTACAGGTAGCTAGTACCTACAACAATATTGGGGATTGCATGTCCAGGCCATGAAAGACAGGCCTAGGGGGTTTGATATATTGGATGTGGCCAAAGAGATTTCTAACCATATGTAGTACCAGGGGTATATATACAATTGTAATACAACAGGATTGGGTATTGCCCTGGAAAGACAGAAGATGATCATATTGGACTGGGCCACCGATTTATACATGTATATATATATAGTACAACAGGATTGGGTATTGCCCTGGAAAGACAGAAGGGGATCATATTGGATGAGGCAAAAGTGATTTCTAATATATTAAGACATACATATACCGGTATAATAATCCCAGTGGTGTAGGGTTGACTATATATTTGATGTATATAGATCAGAGTGTAGATGATATAGTGTATGTTTTAATCACCTGTTTTACATTATCTCTACTGCCTACATATGTATGTAACAGCTGTTCTCTCTACCCCAGCTGTATTACAATCAGTTGGGGAAAGGTTTGTTAGCTAGCCTGACAACTTTTGTTTTCAATTTTTTTTTTTAATTTAAAACCTACATGTTGGCATTATATGTGATGTAAATGAATAGGATTACATATTTGATCTTTGATAGGTGTGTAAGAAATAACTGAGAATTCATTGATAAATAAATACTAACTAGACTTTATCAGTAAAGCTCAGTGTAACATTGATAATATTTATTTTACGTGCATTCCATCAGATAATAATAAATATATGATATCATATCACATATTATCAGATAGAATGCACATTAAATAAATATTGAAGCTCTTCAGTGAGTTGTCTTGAAAGTGATACAAGATTTTAAAAGTGGGTGTATACATTCTGAAGTATATATATCCTTTATTTTACATTCAGATACAAAGAAATGAAAAGAAGCTAAGCTAACAGGGTAAACACTGATTAACAACTATAACTCAAAGGGGGAAAGCCAGATCCTCCACTCGACAATTATTAACTCATTCACCCCTGAAATTTTTATAATGAACTATTCCAGCCTTTGAATTGGAAGAGTTCAAATTTGTATTCAGGGGTGAATGAGTTAAAGTTGATGGTGCAAATTTAAATGAGCGGTGGCAGATTATATTATTATCTGCAGTAAAAGTATGGATATATAAGATTTTAACTACTTGAGGCGCATTTAAAAATGTTGAAAACGTAATTCTCATCTTTCTTTTCCATTTCAGGTAGACAGTTGACCCCTGAGGACTTGCAATAATGCCGCCCCCTCCGCCTCCCCCACCCCCAGGGGCACCCCCTCCCCCCACAGTCAAATCCAGTGGTCGTGCCCCAGCTAAGAAATCAGGAGGTGCACCAGAGCGAGGGGCTCTACTCAACGCGATCCACAAGGGGGCAGCACTAAAGAAAACGGTCACCAATGACCGTAGTTCCCCCTTAGTTGGAGGTAATGCTTAAGCTTACATACGTACACACACAAGTGTCTTAGGTGAACTTTAACATCTGTGTTGGTGGTGGTGGTGGTAAGGATTTAGATTCTAATTCTTACCATGAAAATTGCTCCTGATTATCTAGAGAATGTAAGTTAATTTGAAATTGCCATACGTTAAGTTTTTGAATCGCATCTCCGATTAAGTATAGTTAAGAGCTAGAGAGATTTTGATTTTTTTTTATGGCTCTTTAAGGTCCAAAAAATGGAACAATTTCCTGAACTTTGTGAAAAGCGAATTTAAAATGTTATAACTTATAAATAACCTAACATTTTTAAGTGTTTTGTTACCACAACATTTTTCCAATTTTGCAACATTGCCTTTACTTGGACCTATATATTAAATGAAACTATAATATCACATGTATTTCATTCCCTAATTAATCAATGTAAAATTCTGTTTACCAAAGCTATACTTTTTCTGAAAAAATAAATAAATCAGTATTTGGTTTCATGAAATATATTCAGGTTCACTACATTTGTTGAGACTGTGAATTTTGGAAAATAGATAAACTTTAGTAAAAGAAATACCTGATGTATTTTTAATCAAAAATAGCTTATATAACATTCCTAAGAAAATGCTTGGTGGTGAAATGAGGCATAGATTGAGAAATAATAGCGGATGTATGAAAATGATAAAATGACATGGGTAAATTGAAACATGCATGTTTGTCCATGGTGATAGAACAGGTTTTGTTAAAACTTGAGGTTTCTGTTTATAAGCGCTGATTGGTGGAGTGGTAGTTAATTGTGCTTACCCTTATTACATACTGCTAATTCTATACTATCCTTTAGATCTCCCACTTGTTCCCTTGTTGACCCTGCTTTGACACCCTTTTCCCCTAGGTAACAAGCCTTCGCCTGCTAGTGGTGGCCGTGGAGGCCCGCTAATGCCCCCTGGTGGAGGGGCCAGCAAATTCAACACAGTGGCATGCCACGCTAACCGGCCCAACAGTAGAGATATACCTAACTCCTGGCGTGGCTCACAAGATGATGGTAAGGTGATCATGATCAAGGCATTAGTTGAATTATGTGATTTCCAAAATATGACTGTTTGATTGTCGGTCATGATCAAACTTTATATGTAGGTGTTGAACTCAGCTGTGGAAAAGAACTTTCAACAGTGCATTCATCACCCCTACATATCTAAACTGGACTTGCCCAGTCTTTGATTTGGTAAAGTTCAAATGTGACTTTAGGGGTGAACATACTAAATTTGAATGCATTGAATATTCTGAATATATAGTTCACATGGATTTGAAATTGTATACTATCAAGAATAACATTTCCATTATAAATTATAAAATAATCTTTATGAACTGTTATTGGAAGTGTCACAGTTGGTTAATGGGAGGGGAGGATGTGTCAATTTTATTCCTGAATAGTTAACATATTATGTTTGGTGTTTTTGGGTGCCTAAGTACCGGGGTATATATATATATATAGGGCTACACAATAAAGGTAGCCAGATAGTTTGAGACTACTGGAATCTCCAGCTTTGACTAGTGGTTCTAAAAACCACTAGCTAGATTGAATGGTCAAAATTTGATATTGTTTATCTTGTTAAATAATATTAGTAAGTGGAATTTGCACATGAACTGGAAACAACTTCCCCTATTGATTAGTGTTATACAAGACCAACAGTCAGCCCTGATATATCAACAGGGTTTCTCATACATTTTGGTCATACATGTTCATTTTCAGGAGTAGCCAAAAATAATATGATTAACCAGAAACGAAAGCAGAGTCTCCCAAGTTCCCCAAACATTAAACAACCGCTGAAGCCAAGCTATTCTGACGGTGGTAACAGAATTTTCACCTCCTTAGCATGTGTTTCGTGGTGGATATCTTTTTAATTTTTTTAACATACTTGTTATTGTGTCAAAGATATGTCTGCACCTTATTGTATTTCTTTCAGTGAAAAGTGTTTGTATTCACAGTTTACCGGGAGGATCTGCTCGGCTGCTTTGTACTTATCTGTACTTAGTTATGTTCTTTTTAGCATGAACTCCAGGAATTATTGAACACATTGTGCTGTTAAAAATGCCATATGACGACGTACCTTGGAGTATTTTCTTACCTTGGACAGGTATATCACACTCTTACCAATGTGAGATATCCCAGTCTCGCCCTAGGTCTGGGGCAAAAGGGGATTATACATTCATAACAGTTATATGATGTCATGTCAGATATAATGATGTCACGTCAGAGATATAATGACGTCACATCAACTGCGCATAAACGTCACACCAAATCAACAATTTAATGACATAATGTCAACAACGCAACGACCCTATTACATCAACATTGCATAATACATTACTGACAGGGTAAACAGTTAAAAAAAGGGTCATTTGCCCCCTTGGTAGTGAGATGGAGGATCTCAACACAAGGGGAACGAGTCTTTAGTTTGACAAACACTTGTGATTGACAAACTTTGGTTTTCGCAAATTAAAAAGAATTATAATGTCAGACATATTGAAAGAGTTTCGACTCATAGTAGTATCATTTATGGGTTATCATGTACATGTATACCTGGGATGTATGGAGGTGTGGACGGGTGACATGCACTGGTAGAAAGGTATTGACCGTTTTTGTCTGCTTATGATGATAAGATATGGAATGATATGGTATTATTGTGTTTCCTGTAACTTCAAATGTGAACTTGAAATAAAACTAATCAAAATGGTGGCAGAAATAACCCTGGGTAGAAACGGACCTAGTAGTATAGTACAGTACCTAAAATTGGTGTGCATGTTGACTGGTAGAAAGTGATTAAAAAGTTAGCTACTTTGATAAAAAAAAAGTATGAAATAATGGGATTTAATATTTCATACAACAATTCACTAAGAGATTTTATTATATTTTAATAAGTACTACAAATGTATTTAAACTGCTTGGCATTCAGTACTTTGGAGAATGAAACATACAGGGTTTTACTTGAAGTAGAATCCTGCTTCAAATACCCCTATTTTTGAGGACCCCAAATAATTACGTTTAGGTGGGACTCCATATTATCAATCAAAGGGGTTCCAAGGACTCTCAAAATCAAAATGGGATGTAAAACTCTGAAACACATGTTAGTGGTAATGTACTGGGGAGGGAGAGGTGGGGGTATGTGTTAGTGGTAATGTACTGGGGAGGGGAAGTTGGGGGTATGTGTTAGTGGTAATGTACTGTAGAGGGGAAGGTGGGGGTATGTGTTAGTGGTAATGTACTGGGGAGGGGAAGGTGGGGGTATGTGTTAGTGGTAATGTACTGGGGAGGGGTATGTGGGGGTATGTGTTAGTGGTAATGTACTGTAGAGGGGAAGGTGGGGGTATGTGTTAGTGGTAATGTACTGGGGAGGGGAAGGTGGGGGGATGTGTTAGTGGTAATGTACTGTAGAGGGGAAGGTGGGGGTATGTGTTAGTGGCAATGTACTGGGGAGGGGGAGGTGGGGGTATGTGTTAGTGGTAATGTACTGGGGAGGTGGGGGCATGTGTTAGTGGTAATGTACTGGGGAGGGGGAGGTGTGCGTATGTGTTAGTGGTAATGTACTGGGGAGGGGAAGGTGGGGGGATGTGTTAGTGGTAATGTACTGTAGAGGGGAAGGTGGGGGAATGTGTTAGTGGTAATGTACTGGGGAGGGGGAGGTGTGCGTATGTGTTAGTGGTAATGTACTGGGGAGGGGAGGAGGGGGTATGTGTTAGTGGTAATGTACTGGAGAAGGGGAGGTGGGGGTATGTGTTAGTGGTAATGTACTGTAGAGGGGAAGGTGGGGGTATGTGTTTGTGGTAATGTACTGGGGAGGGGGAGGTGGGGGGATGTGTTAGTGGTAATGTACTGGGGAGGTGGGGGCATGTGTTAGTGGTAATGTACTGGGGAGGTGGGGGCATGTGTTAGTGGTAATGTACTGGGGAGGTGGGGGCATGTGTTAGTGGTAATGTACTGGGGAGGGGGAGGTGTGGGTATGTGTTAGTGGTAATGTACTGGGGAGGGGAAGGCGGGGGTATGTGTTAGTGGTAATGTACTGGGGAGGGGGAGGAGGGGTATGTGTTAGTGGTAATATACTGGGGAGGGGTATGTGTGGGTATGTGTTAGTGGTAATGTACTGGAGAGGGGAAGGTGGGGGTATGTGTTAGTGGTAATGTACTGGGGAGGGGGAGGTGGGGGTATGTGTTAGTGGTAGTGTACGGGGGAGGGGGAGGTGGGGGTATGTGTTAGTGGTAGTGTACGGGGGAGGGGGAGGTGGGGGTATGTGTTAGTGGTAGTGTACGGGGGAGGGGGAGGTGGGGGTATGTGTTAGTGGTAGTGTACTGGGGAGGGCGAGGTGGGGGTATGTGTTAGTGGTAATGTACTGGAGAAGGGGAGGTGGGGGGATGTGTTAGTGGTAATGTACTGGGGAGGGGGAGGAGTGCGTATGTGTTAGTGGTAATGTACTGGGGAGGGGAAGGTGGGGGTATGTGTTAGTGGTAGTGTACTGGGGAGGGCGAGGTGGGGGTATGTGTTAGTGGTAATGTACTGGAGAAGGGGAGGTGGGGGGATGTGTTAGTGGTAATGTACTGGGGAGGGGGAGGTGGGGGGATGTGTTAGTGGTAATGTACTGGGGAGGGGGAGGTGTGCGTATGTGTTAGTGGTAATGTACTGGGGGGGGGGAGGTGTGGGTATGTGTTAGTGGTAATGTACTGGGGGGGGGGAGGTGTGGTTATGTGTTAGTGGTAATGTACTGGGGAGGGGGAGGAGTGGGTATGTGTTAGTGGTAATGTACTGGGGAGGGGGATGTGGGGGTATGTGTTAGTGGTAATGTACTGGAGAAGGGGTGGTGGGGGTATGTGTTAGTGGTAATGTACTGGGGAGTGGGAGGGGGGGGATATGTGTTAGTGATAATGTACTGGGGAGGGGGAGGTGGGGATATGTGTTAGTGGTAATGTACTGGGGAGGGGGAGGTCGGGGTATGTGTTAGTGGTAATGTACTGGGGAGGGGGAGGTGGGGGGATGTGTTAGTGGTAATGTACTGGGGAGGGGGAGGTGGGGATATGTGTTAGTGGTAATGTACTGGGGAGGGGGAGGAGTGCGTATGTGTTAGTGGTAATGTACTGGGGAGGGGAAGGTGGGGGTATGTGTTAGTGGTGATGTACTGGGGAGGGGGAGGGGGGGGTATGTGTTAGTGGGAATGTACTGGGGAGGGGGAGGTGTGCGTATGTGTTAGTGGTAATGTACTGGGGGGGGGGAGGTGTGGTTATGTGTTAGTGGTAATGTACTGGGGAGGGGGAGGAGGGGGATGTGTTAGTGGGAATATACTGGGGAGGGGTATGTGTGGGTATGTGTTAGTGGTAATGTACTGGAGAGGGGAAGGTGGGGGTATGTGTTAGTGGTAGTGTACTGGGGAGGGGGAGGTGGGGGTATGTGTTAGTGGTAGTGTACGGGGGAGGGGGAGGTGGGGGTATGTGTTAGTGGTAATGTACTGGGGAGGGGGAGTGGGGGGTATGAGTTACACAAAGTATCACTAACACTTGTCAGTCACTTTGCCTAACTGGCAATGTTTGTTTTCACAAAATGTACAAATTCATCCAGTTTGTCAATAACGTTGTGTAGCTTAAGGTGTAATTTTCATGCAAAGTGTTGTGATTGCTGATATCCGTGACATTGTGTGTGATGGTGTATATTACATTACGTATATATATAACTACTGTATAAAACCTGGTCACCACCCTACGCTCCATTACTAACACTGCCAACACAGGAAGTGGGAAGTAGCTCACTTAGAAGTAGGCTGTCACTGTCATCAGTGTGTATTGTGTACAATCTGATAGTACAGTGACCCATTGTTATTGTTACTGTAAAGATGATCAAAAGGTGTAAACATTAGATTTTAGTTGTTTTCTCTTCTGTTCTTGATGACATTGTGTGGTACATGTACATGTACTTTTGTTTTCTGATTTCTGGTGAAGATCTGGTGTGGAAGGGAAGTTATTGACATTTATATGGGCTATTTCGTTGTTAGGTACATGTATGGGTTTCAGTTTTGAGATAAAAAATATTAACACTTTTTGTACGCCCGTCGAAGACGGGGACGTATTATGTTATCACGTGAGCGGGCGGGCGGGTGGGCGGGCGGGCGGGCAAACGATGTCCGCTCGATATCTCGAGTAATTATTATGCCCCTTTACTTGCCGAAACAGTGTCCGCTCGATATCTCGAGTAATTATTAACGGATTAACTTCAAACTTCACAACAAGGTTAATTACCATGAAACCTTGGACAAGTTCGATAACCGCCATTATCCGACCATAATTTGTGGAGTTATGCCCCTTTATGGACTTGCCGAAACAGTGTCCGCTCGATATCTCGAGTAATTATTATGCCCCTTTACTTGCCGAAACAGTGTCCGATCGATATCTCGAGTAATTATTAACGGATTAACTTCAAACTTCACAACAAGGTTAATTACCATGAAACCACGGACAAGTTCGATAACCGCCATTATCCGACCATAATTTGTGGAGTTATGCCCCTTTATGGATTTGCCAAAACAGTGTCCGCTCGATATCTCGAGTAATTATTAACGGAATAACTTCAAACTTCACAACAAGGTTAATTACCATGAAACCACGGACAAGTTCGATAACCGCCATTATCCGACCATAATTTGTGGAGTTATGCCCCTTTACTTGCCGAAACAGTGTCCGATCGATATCTCGAGTAATTATTAACGGAATAACTTCAAACTTCACAACAAGGTTAATTACCATGAAACCTCGGACAAGTTCGATAACCGCCATTATCCGACCATAATTTGTGGAGTTATGCCCCTTTACTTG